CCCGATCTCGAAAGCGATTTCATCAACATACACTGATAACTATTGTGAGATTGTGCTAATTTCGTAATCATGACAAAATGGGCGAAGCTGCGCAGAAATATCCATAACGAGAAAATTTACATTTTATTTACGCAAGTGATGAAAGATCAATAATGTTGCTTCAGTTACTGTCAGTAACAGATTCAGAATAAATCTCATAACTAGATTACGCTGACAATTAAAAGTAACGATAAAACATTTGGGTTCATTGACACTTGCGTGTTTTTGTCGATTACTATAGTTTAGACTGGCTTAGCAAAGAATAGCTCTTGGCTACTAATCCATTCAATAATATACATTTTACAATTGAAATCATTTCAATCATTCATTTTAGAATGATGTGTCCGTGAGCTTTGTACAATCTCTGAAAAATGGTTGAATTGAAATATTTTTTGTGATTCTAAGTATTTTTCCGGTGTTGATTAGAACTTACAATTTCTTTCTGAGTAGTAGGATGAATCATAGATTTCCAACACTATAATTTTCTGAATACATAATATTATAGGTGACACTTTTCTCTAGGAAATGAGACATTGTCAATTGGTTTAGCTTATGGGTTTGTGAAATGTGAACTGAAACACTAAAGTCATTTATTCTGAGCGACACTTCGAAAGTGCTACATACAACAAGAAAACGATCAATCTAAATAGCTTTTTGTAGAGATCGCATTTTAAAGTAATTACCATTTAAATTGCATCTTTTAAAATATAATTAATGGTTAATGATATGAAATTAGAGAAGAGCATTAAGCATCAGGTCATCGAAATAAAAAAGAACGTTGTTTTTTTCATCTTTTTTGCACTCTTTCAAATATTATATATTTTATAAAACAATTAATTTTCAGAATTGTAGGTAATCGATTGTAAAACTAAATACTTAGAAACTGGAAGATGTGTTATTTGAAAAGTTTCTTTTTCAAACTGTAGTCAGTTCTATGTCGATTTTATTTAAGATCTTTTTTATGTGAAAATAATGCCATGATAGGTCTCTGAACGTTTGTCCACAACTTTACTCCTTGGATATGAATATAAAAGAGAATGTATAGTTTACACTATTTTGATTAAGACAAAATAAGACAAAATAGCTTATCGATAGTAATGTTTGAAAGTTTTAAAATATTCTTAATATAAACATTATCAGTTAAATTTCTAATATTTATTATAGTATTCATTTTGGTCATTTAGTGTATATGCCGATGGTGGTCGTCGTGTTACTGCTCCACCGACTCCCAAACAATCATGGGGTGATTTATCAGCAACAACGGTTATTGATTCAGGTGCTCTTATGCCTGTTCACTCTTCAAATTCTCGATCAACATCAGAATTAAATTCTTATTTGTCTCGTCGTCGTAATACAACTGGTAGTATTCAATTTACAAAAATAGTCGATTTAAATAAGACACAAAGTAAATTGAGTGGCAATGATCGACATCAGTCACCAAATAAACTCGATAGTGAGTTTTAATTCAGATTATTCTGCGATGATATAAAGCGGTTTAAATATGTGTATCGATGCATATTTAGATATATTTCAAGCTGTAGAAGATTCTGATATAATAACCACAAAATATTTGGTTACAACTCATGAATCATTAATTAATTCGTAAGTATTCTCTAAAGTTTTCTTTACGAATAATAAATATTTCGAATGAATATTCTTGTTGTCAATACGAACGCGAGGATAATCAAGAATAGTGTTTTTTTTGAGAGAGTCAGGCAATCTGAGCTAACTTTAGATCTATAGTTGCAGAATAGCGTTTTTTTCTATGAATAGATAGTCGAAAAAGCACTTTTGTAAGTAAAAATCAAGCGAAATCTTGATTTTTAGCGGTTCAGACATGGTTACGGATTTTCTTGGAACATAGGAAGTGGTATCTAATCGTTTCTGAAAAAAACAGATCATCCTAATGTTTGATGACGGGTATAAATTATAAACTAATATGATCAATAAGAAAAGAAACTACTGCAGGACATCAGGCTATTCAAATTAGTTAAAAATTCAACAGCAAATATTCATTTCTTTCTTTTTAGTTACAATGAATTTGATTGGTGTCCATTAGATTTGGCCATTATGCTTAACAATGTACCTATGATCAAATTATTAATTCAATATGGAGCAAAAGAAAGTGAAAAAAGTAGGTGAACAGTATAGATTCATTATGCAGTTAGTAATGAGCTACGAACTAGTACTAAGTCTGAACATGTATTGTTATTTGTTCGTGAGTGGATTAACATATATATTCATTTTCATGTAAGAAATGGTTCATAGCAGCTTTAAATATATTCTTCATTATTTATAACACAGTCAACATTTCGAACTGTACACAGTTATTAATTCTTATCTGTAGATGAAACAAATTATAGAAATGATTCAGATGTAAATGAGAAATAATAACCGTTTATAATGAGTTTCTTGAAAAGCTTCTTAGAAGAGACATTTTTTTTAAACTAAAAAAGTTTGACTGTAAAAATAATAATATTAGTGGTGGTGTTTTTAGCTAATTTTAGCTGTTTTATTTTAGTTCTCTTATTATCTATGTTTTATTTTAGTTTTCTACAAAATGATTTTATCAATCAAACCTATAATACTGAACTTCTTGCTAGTCTCACTTCTGTTAACGACTCTTCCTGGATTGGTATAAAGGAACATACTAACAATATGTTAAATAATTAAAGATTTCTGAAATATTCCGTGTTTTCTGCTCGTTCAAAAACTAACTTCTTGAAATTTAAGATTCACGAATTCGTTGTTTTAGTTCAACCAGAAGACCGTCGCTATCGAAGTGTTTGTTGTATATTAGAAAAGTTAGATAACGAGCCAACATCAAGAAAAAATTCGAGATTAACTGTTGAAGATACTCAGGTATATGTGGAGATCGTCTTTTACATGAAAACTTTGATTTAGATTTTCGTTTTAGAGAAAATCACGTGAAAAACGTCGAAATATGTATATACAAATGAAGGAAAATTATGAGCAATCAAGTAAGCAAGTTTATTATTTGATTTGTTGAGAGAAATTTACAGTGTTTGTTTTATTATTCATAGTCAAGTTATTGCACTGTTGTCTAGTTTTGTACAACTGTTCCTATTTATACCAATAGAGCGAAGTGTTTGAAGTTTGTAGTAGAAATTTGTCGTTTTCTAACCTCTCCTGTAACGGACGGGCGGATACTGTGAGTAGTAATCTCTTGCGGTTTGACGCTATAAGAATTCTCACTCTGGTATATGAGCTGAAAGAGCTGCATTCTTTTGAAAATCCATGATAGAAGCATATTATTATTTTTATGAAACAAATAAGTTGAAGTAAAATATAGAATAGTCCCAGGCACAAAAAAAAACCGTTAGAAACGGCAAAAAACGCGTTACGGACTCCCGTTTCTTGATCCATTGTCACGCTTTTTGAACGCGTTTTTCAGAAACGTGTTTCGTAACGTTTGCTTCATTTTCCGTTCTCAGACGTTTTTATTCCGCTTCTAACGGTTGAAAAATGCAACTAATTATTCACCGTCTTGTTTTGCGGTCAGCCGAGTATATAAACACAATCGAAATATCGAAGAAATACCATCTTCTTTTTGTTCTTTTTCAGTTTTAGAGCATTAGTTTTGTACTTCCTTTATTATAGGCTTTCAACTATTTTTAGATCAAGTCCCATCCTTGGTTTCTCGAACGATTCAGGAGTTGCAGAATTGATGCCGAAACGTGTTCTAGAACGCTTGAAAATGCGTTTTTGAACGCTATTAACGCAAAAGTAACGCGTTCTAAGGTGTTAAAAAGACTGTTTTAACGCGTTTTTCTTCGTTTTAAATGAAACATTTAACGCGTTTCTTGATCGTTAAAAACGGAATAAAAACACGTTTTAGAGCCAATTTTTTTGTGCCTGGGAATCATTTTGGAGAAAAAAGAGCAAATCATTGTTTAGCGTGATAATTTCGGATTTCTATATAACATTCACTCTAGCATGAGAAGAACCAGATAACTCACACACAACAACTGTTCTGCCCAAAACATTCATAAACATCTTTGTGTCTGAGTTGTATGACGTAATGTAAGGATAAACTCGGTTCACTTCACTTGATTAAAAACTCATTTATTCTTTAATGTTCAAAATAGATTATCTCAGTTGTATGAGCATAAAATCTTTCGTTCACAAAGCGCCTGTATTGATGTCCACTTGTCGAGTCTGTTTCACTGCACAGTGCCAGATAATACGTCTCATTTGTGATGAAAGAAGAATGAGTTATGCTCTAATGGTTGCTTCGATGTGTCGATGACTACACATTTTATCAGCGTATTTCAATTTTTCTGTTTTGTTTGATAGCGGGACTTTTGTCCGCATTGTTTCCATTCGTTTTCATAGCCTTTGGTCTCCTTTGAGAAATATGAGTGACTGTATCCTGGTATGGATGCAGTGGCGTCAAGTTGTAAAGTAAACAGAAATCTGAGTTGGTAAACAGTAGAATATTCTCTGTCAAGACATCATTTGATATTTGATCAGTCAGAAAGTAGTGGTTATTTTATATACTTTTTCGCTTTTGATGAAAAGAAGTTTTTTCTCGTAATGTATAAGATGAAAGTTTTGAGTATGAACAAAAAATACAATGTAATAAAATTTTCATTCTCTCTTTGTGCACGTATATAAATAACTAAACGGTATTATCACTACGTTTAATAGAAAAAATATGTCTACGTGATATATTAGTTTCCTTAGTACGACTTCCTCTGATCCATTTTTTTCTACGTATTTTTCTAACCTTGTCTTGAATCTATAAAAGGTGATACTACTATATTTATTTTATGGTACTCTTATCAGCAAAAGGAGAATGAGTATGTCATCATACTTCCACCTGCCATGTAAATGTAATTTTACTTTACTTTATGACTATAGTATTAGCAAGTAATTATTTGTAATCACGCATTCCTACGTTGAGAAGACAGAAGAAATAAATAAAAGTGCAATGACGCACAACAATAATAAATATAATTTATTGAACATAATCATTTTTATTTATCTATCCATTTTACAGCACACTATACGTGGGTTCATTCTGATAGATAAAATTTTTTTACGCATAAAAAAACTAAATTTTTAGTTTTATTTTTATAAAATGTTCGAAAATAGAATAAAATCTGGATTAGTCGTTCTTATCATCTTCTCCATGTAACTTAAATTAAAACTTTAAATTAGGTAACTTAATAAGAAAAAAATGTCATAAATTCGGCTTAGAATCATCAGTTTTTTTTTAGAAGCTGATGAAAAATCATCTATTTTTCAAAAAATTTTCATTTAGTCAGAAATAAATGTGCATAATGGATAACATTCACTGAAAACTTTTTCTTGTCAAATGAAAAATCGATTGGATAAGGTAAAGTTTAAGATTGGATACTGAACATTTTGAAATTAATCTTTCCATTTCTGTCCAAATATTATGTTTATTTCATATTAGGACAGATTTAACCATCCTCTTTTAAAACTATTAATTCTTAAAAATATTTTTGAGTATAAAATTTTAAATCAAAAAACATGTGGTTAAAATGACCCATTAATTACTATTTAAATTCTGTTTTTATCTAAAGAAGACAAGAAGACATGTAAAATCTCAATGATCACAAAATATAATTCATCTCTGTGAATAATGAGAAAATCATGCATATAAATATTTTTAACCTTTTGTTCTTATATTATAAATCAATGGATTAAAGAATATAGAAAGACAAAGAATAGTATGCATGTGTTCTTTCTTAGCATTAAATAAAGTTATCTAAACATATTATTGTTTTTTGTATCCTTGGATTGAATAAAGTATATAGATGCTTCTTTTTTTTTTTTCTTCTTCTTCTTCTTCTTCTTTCTCATTTGTTCACCGGAAATCGGTATCCGTTATTAATGTCAGAGAACTAAGAGATTCAAACAACATCTAGTACATTAAAACAAAACAAATTTTGAATTTATTATCATGAAAAAGTTAAATATTTTTTTCACAGAACATCAAACTTAAAAACAAAGTTATAGATAATATTTTGAGATTTTTATAATAAATAAGTAAAAATTATCATCAGAAATAGCGTGAAAATAAAAGAAATATATATTTTTTCATTTAATAAAACTTGATAGAAATAGGAGTACTATTCCTTCTAATTAACATAGATACTTCTAATTATGTTTAACATGAAAATATATATTCTATCCTTACCTATATATATCGTGTGAACAAGTTTTATGTTTAAATTATCTGTAAAATTGAGCTTCTGACAAAATTCTATATGTTTTTTGTTTAAAAAAATATGTAGATTAAAAGTTTTGTGTTGATATTATAATCATGTAGTCAAAAAAGAATATGATAACTTTTTGAATCAAATAAGCGATATTATTCTGTAATTACATAATATATTTTCAACATATATGTGTGATATGAACAATCAATATTTATTTTTTAACTATTTCTTTTCCTATTACTATAAAACGTATTATTGTTTTGAAAATGTTTGTTTTTTAACGTTATAATTGGCCATATTTTTCAAAGTTTAAAAATAATTCGAAATTTTTTTAGTACATATGAACTATTTGACCTGATAATATAAGTGTTTTTTTTTTTCTCAATTTCATTAGTATACAAAAGAAGAATAATGTATGAAAAATAGAAATGATAGCTAAAGGTATTTCACTTGTTAGAATATAATAAGAGGATTAGATATTTAAAAAGAATGTCATTTTATATTTAATCAAGAAAAAAAAAAAGAAAGAAAAAAGGAAAGATGAAATAAAGATAATTAAGAACAAATTTGTACTTATAGTAAAATTTCTTTTCTATTGACAACATTCAAGAGACTTCTCTAAAACGTTCACTATATGGAAAGTTTCCTATTCTCTTCCTGACTAATTATTAACAGTCATGTCATATAAAACTATTTTCAACTCAATATTGTGATGCTCTTTTAAAATATTATTCTACTGTTATTTCTTACATAATTTTTTTTTTCTACCTATACACATAAAATGTTGAAATGAACTAATTTTTAAGAAAAACAAACGCACAATTATTTCTAATGTTTGTTGAAACAGTAGTAATTTCAACATACGTTGTTTTGTTGTTTTTTCAAAATAAATTTCCGTTATTTTTGATTGCAATTCAATGAAGTTGAGAAATGATGTGTTTATGCAGAAAAAAAAAAGGGATGAAGTCAGTTTCATTATTTTGTCCTACTGAATCTACATAGTTATGCATTTTAATTTCCGATTAGCCGAAGAAAAAAAAAAAAAAAAAAAATAAAAAAGCGGTTTGATTTTTGGGTTTGTGCATGTGTTTAAGGTTGGAAGGGCGGG